CTAACAAAAACACAGTCAGGACGTGTATGTTTTTGACGGAAAAAAGGTTTTGAAGTTAAAAATTAGAATATAACCTAATTTTGATTGAAAATAGATATGTGAAAAGATAATATACAGTTGGAACAATAGATTGACTTTGAACTTGTTTAGACCTCGAGCAGTGATGTAATGTTGATATGAATTAAAGGAGAAGTGACACATACGTCCTTTAAAGAGTCAAAAAGACTGCAAAACGAAATATGTATCAAACTTGAACCTGATCGAATTAAGAAAAGTTGCAATCAAAACTATTGTATACTTTTTTTTAAAATACCATATTACAGAATGATCGCATTTTTTGTGTCTGTTTTAATGATATATACATGATACATATATATCTTCAACTGTTTCGTTTTTTATATATCATTGGCTGTAAATAATTTGTCTTTGCGCGATCCTGATGAAGTAAGTCTAGAAAAATCGCTTCTGAAGCATGCAATTTAAAAATTGTTTTTTCTTCTTTTTTTTTTCTTTTTTTTTTCGTCAACTTTATTCTGAACTTTCCAAGTTTTTTACAGATAACTACTAGTATTGACTAAATTGTTAAATTGTATATGTAAATCATACGTTCATTTTGAAATATTAAAAAATAATAAATTGTAATTCAATTTTCAATATCGTAGTATGACACAGTGACATGATATCCAACACTTATTCTATCAACAATTTTCCATCTCCTCATTTTAAGTAATACGAGTGTGTCCTTTTCTTTGACAGGAAATCGTGTTTTTCATATTTTGGGGAATTTTGCAGAATGAGTGTTTTCTACACACACATATTGATATATGTTAAAGTTAATCCACGCATTGATTTAAATATTTTCGGAGTTAATAAAATATGGGAGTGTCATATTTCACTCTTATTGCATGTTAAAGACATGAAAGAGAAGCAAAGGTTACCAAAGAGACATTCAAACTCATAAGTCGAAAATAAACTGACAACGACATGGCTAAAAAAGAAACAAACAAACAGACAGACAAACAACAGTACACAAAACAAAATAGAAAACCAAAGACTGAGCCACACGAACCCCACCAAAATCTGGGAGTGATTGCATCTTAAAACAAGTGCGGGGTTCTGATACATAGTTAATCAAATCACAATTCGCATATTCATTGGTTTAATTCATTAGTTTGTTTAGAGATTTAAAGACTGATTAACGACTTTTAAAAAAGTCTAAAATGTTTACTTTATTGGAATTTTAATATCAGTAAACCAACACATAGGCCGTGATAATAAACTAATACACAACTGTTCTAAACCACCTCCCCCCGGCCTCAAATTCGAAAACAAAAATAAACAAATCATGCATAAACGAAAAGAAATTCTATACAAAACAAAATGTTTAGCATGTTGCAAAAAAAAGTAGATATTAAGCAGGTTAGTTTAATAAAGCCAGACAGCTGCATGGGAAAAGAAACGACAATCAACAAACTACAACGCACTAAACAGAAAATAAACAAACTGAACAACATTATCTTCCACCACTAAAAACCATGAAATTGTAATTCATTTATTGCATTTTTCGTCTATACACTGAAATGAATGAGGTAAGTGCATGTGATAATTTGAGTTTAAATGTCCCTTAGGCATCTTTCACCTCATTTTTTTTTATATTCGTCACTGCGATAATGAGTAGTGTTTAAAGCTCCCGACATATCTTTCATTGCATTTTAAGAATAATGTTCAATGCAGTGCTAAAATATAGAATAAAGAAACTGTATTTGTTTTGAATTAGCACATGAATTTTTCGTAATATCAATTGGACAGAACTAAGCTATAAAATTAAAATATGAACATTTAGAAGACATCATAGAGTTTCAAACAACACACAGTAAACAGGCGTCAACACAATACGTCAATCCACACATAAGATCATGTACATACAAGTTGGATCTATATAAAAATAGAAAGTGTCTTAAACAGCGCCATAGAACTAAATGAAGACACCTCCATATCAGCAGTGTGCAATGCTGCACTTAAATGAAAAACAGAAAAATCGTTTTCGTGTTGCTTCAACTAAAAAATATCTAATTCATATCTCACCCCACATATTTCGGGTGCATCGATTGCAAACAGCTTATCAGTTATAACATTTTTCAACACGTTTTTTTACGAAAGAAAACATAAAAAGGACAACATCTTACTCATTTGCTTTAGACATAAAATCAAACCATTTGTTAGAAATACCTGTTTTGTCAATTCATTAGGTGGAATTACGCTTTAAAACAATCACAATATATGTGATGACATTAGCATGATTAGGTGTTTGTTATACCTGTGCATGGACTGCACACACATACTTATCGAACAAACGTATGTCAGGTCACTGACTTAGAAAATGACGACACATAAAGCAACACTTCTAGTAACAGAACAAATAAAATCGTTCAGTTAATAATAAATGCTGGGTTGGTGGATGATTACCATGATAAATTAAAATATCAAGGTCTTAAAGAACATCGGTCACTATTAAAACTAAATTTATCAAGAACAGTTGAGGTACATTAGTTTCATATGTACATTTAGAAATGCAAGGGCTGTTTACATGGAATATTCAACAATATTTCAAGTTGTAGGGTACTTCCGGAGTTATCTCGTCGTTTTTCGAAAAAAGGGTTCGTCGGAAGATACCAATACCATGTTGATAAATATTCTGTATCAACTTCACAAAAAATACATGATGGTTTTGAAGTATAGATTCTATGAACTGCATGACGTTGTTTATCATCTTAATTGCAAGTTAAAGTGTTCTTTTTATTTGTCTTTGTATATTTAACCGTAACTGTTTAGTCTTTTTTGGTAATATACTTTTGGCGTAGCTCGGTATTTATACATCCCGTCATTGTGTTATCATCCTATGGTAATTTTTGTATTCTTGTCTTTTAATTGTGCTTATGCTCCCTGTCTATAAAGTGTCTATATGCCATTTTATTTTCTTTGTTGAAATAGTTATTTGTTTTTATAGCGATTAAGATTATAACTCAATATTGACGGCTGTACCCTAATTTTGACATATTTGCCTATTATGTCTGTGTGTTTTTCTCACACATTGTTGTCAATAGAATGAAATTCTATACGGCTGTCATAAAAGTAAGAGGTTTAGCTAGTTATACAACCAGGTTTTAACCACCATTTTCTACATAAGGAAATGCCTGTACCAAGTCAAGAATATGACAGTTGTTTTCCATTCATTTGATGTGTTTGAGCTTTTGATTTTGCCGTTTTATAAAGGACTTTCCGTTTTGAATTTTACTTTGAAATTTTTGTTATTTTACTTTTTATGCATTAGAGGAGACAATTGAAAATCTGAAATAACAAGGACATATACGTAACTTCTCAAGCAGAAATGGCAATTATTTGAAGATATAATTCTTTATTTGGTCTGCTTGCCGATACGAAAATGTTTGTCATATACACATAATTCGATGTTGTGCTATTACACCACTGTCTAATGTTACGGCATGAGGAGTTTGAACTCCGACAAACATTTCTAAACATGGGATATTTTATGAGCAAGTATTTCAGTGACTTCAATCTTTTCTTTACATGCCCAATTAGTTTATTGTTCTGAAGAAGAAAAAACCCGAAAACACCAAAAGCTAGAAATTTTATCTGTTTCTGCTCCACCAATGTCACTTAACATCTTTAACATGGTACGGTGCAGTCCGGTGTATTCGCGTAACAAAGAGTATTGGCTTCACTTTTATAAATTCATAAAACCAATTATCGGTTAACATTGTGTGATCAATTCCTGACATCCCACAATTTCATGAATCTTCTTAATGTACGTTTTCACTCTTAAGTTGTATGTATGTGTGTCCAAAATTAAGGAAACCCCTCTTTCGAAAGTTTTTCAAATGTCCGGTGATTTCGCGCATTCATTTTGAAAATAGTCAGTTTTGAATAAAGGAAAGATTTTATACTACGAAATATAGTTGAACCATTTGTAGTTCAGTTAGAACCAAACATACAGGCAAGAATGCGGTGCAAAATTTGTTTTAACTTGATAAAACTTGACTAAAAATGAAACCAATTTTATCTAATGAAGTAAATAAATTGATAGAAAATATTTAAATATGGTTAATCATGGAATTTAATTGTTTAAAAGTGACTATTATAATTAACATTGATGCATTTATTGCAAACAGAATATTATGATTATTTCATATCAAAATAAGGAGATGTGGCATGATTGCCAATGAGACAACTATCAACCAAAAATCAAATGAAGTGGGTGTAAGCAATTATAGGCAACTGTACGGCCTTCAACAATGAGAAAAACCCTTACCGTATGGTCGGCTTTTAAAGGCCCCAACATGACAAATATGAAACAATACAATTGAGAAAACTAACGGCCTAATCCATAACAAAACAATTTACGAAAAACAAATATGACAAATATGAACCAACGACAACCACTGAACTATTATGATTGTTTCATGTTCCTCTCTTCGGCAGCTAACTTTGCAGTAATAGAAAATGACAGTGTTAGTGACTTGAAAGGATTCTTTCAAATTGAATTTAGTAGGTAAGCCATATTGTGCTCTATTCTGTGGACTCAACAGTACTTCTTCTTCTTGTACGTACTAAGGTCGGCTATCAAGAGAAGGCCACAAGGACGAACTATAAAACTTGAACTATTACGGTAACATTGTTGATTCAAAATCTACTTAAACAATAATAGATGTATTTTAACAATTAAACTACTATTATATATTTTTGCAGACGTAAGGCAGAAAATAGAATTCAGTTTTACCAAAGTATTAAGCACACTGTATTGGAGCATAATAACATAAACGGTTCCAACTTTCCTGCACCAGATGCGCATTTTGACAATCAATGTCTCTTCAGTGATGCTCGAGGCCAAAATATTTGAAAATCCAAAAGCTTATTAAAAAGAGCATAACAAACTTGTTATATACTAGTTTAGGAATTGATAATAAAAATAAACTCATGTCCTTTATCAATAAATTTAAGGCTAAAAACAAATGAAAAAAAAACATTTGTGATAGTTTTTCCTCTGTAATTAAATAACAAAAATAAAATAACCTAGCATGACGCTCTAAACTCTTTCCTCACATATTTGAAACGCATTGTAGCATACTGTATTTTATGAAAATCATGAAATTTTTTTTGGTATTTACAAGTCAATTTCATTTTCATGTATCAAATCCAAATAACCACTAGTACCCGGGTCTCCGTAAGCAGCGATAACTTTTCCCAAAAGACCACCGTCCATATATATAAATTTGCTAGGCCATTTTCGCGTGCATATCATGTATTTTTCGTTGTCAAGACGTACTATTTTCCATTCTCTTTTGGGGCCTGTCTTTTTTTTCTGACCTCTTAAAGCTGCATTCTCTTTCATATACATATACCAAGAAGGCCATTGAACTGATCTGATTAGAAATGTATTGTCGACTTTCGAAAGTGATTTAAATTCGAAGAGCATACTGCATTTATCATCAGGATTTTTGGCACTCCATATTGTTCCTGTAGGAGTGTAAGACATCACTGCTCGATGTTGTAGCCATTTTTGTGGACGAATCGCAAACATTTTATTGTTCAACACATCATAGAGATCTTGGAGGTAAATTCCTTTAACCTTCATGTAATCAGTAATACAGTCATATTCTGATGGATGGAATAAAGCAAAAAACGCAACGGTGTCTTTTGTTGGTTGGGCGAATTGTTTCAGGAAATTTGCTTGAGGTTTTTCTATATCCCTAAGTTTTGTTAACATCATATGGTGTTTATCCACAGTAAAAGGTTCACCATGGCTGTAATATCGGATACAATATGCAGATCTTAGGAACTGTACGTCCATATAAAGGTTAATCAATGTATGCGATTTATATTGCACTCTTACTACTTCATCCTTAGTGCATGTGTCTTTGCTTTCCATTAAGATAGATATTTTTTTCTGTATATTTTCAACAAAACACGTTATCTCGTTGACCAAAGTGTTAGAGTATTCCTGGTTTTCCGTAAGTCTCTTATCAAGTGTTTCCATTTTTTTTCGAATGGCAATGATATCTGAATTCATATCATCTGGCAATTTGTCCTTCTTCTCTATTTTCATTACTCGAATTGCACATAGCCATTGTAACACAATCGCTGGTATTTGAATGCAATCAATTTCTTCTCCGCTTATAGATGTTATAGTATTATTGGTTTCTGAAATGATTTGTATCAGCTTAACCCCTGCCACAAGGTTCATTTCCTCTGTGTTGTCATTTTGTAGTATGTCTTGAACAGCAACAAGAAAATCAAGTACTTCTTTACGATGATAATTTTTCGACTTTACGATTTGACGAATGGATATTGCTGTTTGTTTATCCAGATTTGATAGTATTTTCTCTAGCTTATCAATAGTAGCGGCAATACATCGTGCTATTGTCTGTAAAATTACAAAAAAGGTGTAGTAAAAATCAATAATTTGCCAATGGACAATATGGTATAATGTAATAATGTGTAAATGAATAAAAATTGTTCCAGAATCAATATTTATGAATCTTTCTTATACCAGATAATTTTGTGAAAACCGTCTCATACATTTGTCTTAGGTCATTTCATATTATATCACAATAAATATAGTTCAACACTTGACGTTCGATTCGTTATATATTAAGTTAAGATAAATACTCACACATAAATGAAAGCTAAGCATAAAGGGAAATCAAATGACACCGAAACCATTGACAATACTACATGAAATCCCCCGGAAAACAGTTATGACTAAAATTAAAACGATGGAAAGATAAACAACAACAATCAAAAGGATTAGAATAACTAAACATGGAGCATCCATTAAAAAAGATGAACTCAGATGCTCTTGAAGTAATGCATTTTCTGCTGCACTTAGGACACTCATTATGTTGTTTAAGCATGCTTCAATCCAATTAGAAAATTAGGATGTACTTATGTGCTCTTGAAGGGTACGCATTTTCTGTTCGACTTAAAGCACCAATCATGTTCTTCAAACAGGTTCCAATCTGTTTTCGGTAAATTAATGTAAAAAAAAACAGAAAACAGAACGAGATCTCGATTACGACAATAAATAGTGGTCATCTTCGACATAAATTTAAAAGCTAACAACCAGACTAGAATGACGTCTTAAAACTGTTAATGAAATTTACTTTGATAATAGCTGATTGGAATAACCAAGCAATATGATTCAACACAAGTATTTACAACTTATGTCAAGTAACTCATCTCTCCATACATGTAATTTACTATACAGATGTTGGTGACAGCAAGAAATATTAGTGATAAAGGATCAGTAAAAGAATGACAATCGATGTTGTTGATCCATATAAGGGTCAAAATACTTAACGTGTCTATGAATAATTGTGTTACATTTATCTTTAAAGACCACATTGTTGATAAGCACTTGCCATACTTCGATTACTAATATTTTATTGTCACAGCAGACGAATCCCCAAAACGGAAAAGTTTGTGTTTGTAAATCATTTGAAATTACTGTTTGATAAACGATTGACTGATCTGTTCCTTTGGAAATACAACCAAAGATGAAGAACAATCAAAACCGGGCTCCAGAGTTACGCTGAAAGTACATACTTTATGGGCCGTGTAAATCAGATATTGCAAACTAAAAGATGCGATAAAATGCATACTATCAAAATCCCTCTTTTCATTCAATGATATTAAAACATTTGAGTTAAATGCCAGTCTTTGTAAGAATCAGGCAATTTAGAAAAATTTCAAAACATGACCGAAAAAAACCCACCGACCTAACCACCATCATTCACCATTATACATTCTGAACAGAAATTAATGAAAAGTTCAGTGGGTTTTTGTTTGTCATGTTTTCACCACTGCCTGATTCTTAGGCAGGTTGGCACTTAATACTCTAGACCTATTTAGCTTCTTCATTCTAAACTTAAAGACATTGATTCCACTTAGTTTCATTAAACAGAACGGCAAACGTAGATACAAATGTTTGTTTAAGAAGAAACATTTCATACTTTGTAAAAAAAAATCTGATTCAAAAACAAAGTTCAACCAAACTGACATCTTCAAAATTCTGGGTTTTCTATTGCCATTGTATCCTTTTATTTTGAATGTGTTTAATTGTAGCATTGTTTGCGGCACCCACAAAAACACAAAAATTTTAACCTGCGTAAATTTCCATATATTCCTTATTTTATAGCTGTTTAAATGTTTCATACATAAAACTGTTAATTTGTAAACTGTATTGAAAATATACGATATTTTATGAGGAATGCTTCAAGTATTTTTTTTTTTAAACAAAGAGTTCATATACTTGAAGACCACGATTTTGATTGATGCTTTGTGTCAAAGATAAGACACAACATTGAAATAAACGTATACAAAATATCAAATGTGAAGGAGTTTTGTTTTCTTTTTACAAAGTATTATAAGCCCCTTCCTTAAACAAGATATTCGTGTTAGAACATTGTATGGAAACTTATAATCAGTAGCGTCCTTGCAAAGAATGTTACACACATCAAAGAGCTTCACTATCAATGTCTAAACAATTTCAAAAAGAAATTAATCTGGCAAACGCATCATCTGCCCAGGCAAATAGTATTCCAAAAGATAAATCCAGTAAAAACTGTATTACCTCATCGTGAAATAGTTAATCGGGTACATGTTTAACCTTCAGATGTTTGACTACTGCACTGTTCTTGAAAAGCATAAAACCAAAATATATGATATATCATCTCGCTTTAATTCTATTATATTTATATTATATGACTAAATGTTGACCTAATTATATTTCACATTTACAAAGCAACGTTTTTAACAGGTAAAATGGTTTTTTTACAATGTTGCAATAGTTTTAACATTATATAGAAATACATCACACTTTTTCGTTTTAAGGAACACCCTTTATGGCTGCTTTTTTCGATTTATGCGTGAAATTTCTGATCAATCTTATTATTTTTAAAAAAAAATCTTCCTGGAATGAAATTCACTATTAATTGTTTAAACTGAGATTGTTCTAAAACTTTAATTTCCAATTTGTACAATTAACAGGGGTTCCCTATATTTTGTGAACAAAGCAGAAGTTATGATAAAACCATTTTGTTTTTCCTATTTGATTCGAAAAATCAGAAAGTAATATAAATCTATCAAAACAACTCCTTCATAAATATGTGCGTAAGGGATTCCAATGTCTTACATTTCGGTTTTTATTCTTTTTCATTTTCCCAAAATTTTCATCTATAAAGCCGCAATAGTTTGTTTTTATAATATAACTTAATTTGACTAAATTGTAATTTAGAGAGTAAAAGGTTTTTCTATATTCTTATTTTTAAAATTAATAGAGGATTTTTTTTTCAGCAAGCTATAACAGATTTTGCACATTATTTGTGGTTTAGTTTTAAATATTAGTCCTAAAAATATTTTACATTGCTTCTCAGTTCATTTTTTGACATATGAACTTATCATCAATAAGTTTACCTCCTTTAATTTTTCGCAAACACATTTCCATGCAGTTCTTGATTTACATTGAAAAAAGTGACAAGTTTTATAACATTTGTGTTCTAATACTATTATTGGAATACTTGAAAATGTTTTATGCGTCGAGGTTCTTTTTTAGAGTATGAAATTAGGATTATTCCAGACTTTATTAGATAATATACGTTTATGCACACATTTTTAGGTGGTACAATTAATTTTCCTCGAGACTTTTTCACAAATCCCTAATTTATTTACCGCTGTATTCTCGGAGTACATTGAAATAGCTAAGAAATTGCCATATGTACATGCAATTATCAAATTATTTCAGGAAATCCTTTTTGAATTGCCTAATAAAGCCTTACATTTAATCACTTACATCTTCATCATTACAAGGTCCATCTTCTATGATATAATCTTCAAAATAGCTACCCATTGACTGTAAATAAAGGCAACAGTAGTATACCGCTATTCAAAATTCATAAATCGATTGAGAAAAAAAACAAATCTGGGTTACAAACTAAAACTGAGGGAAACACATCAAATATAAGAGGAGAACAACGACACAACAGAAACACAACATTAAATTGCAACACACACAGAAACGAACTATAATATTACAATGGCCATTTGCCTGACTTGGTACAGGACATTTTAAGAAAAAATGGTGGGTTGAACCTGGTTTTGTGGCTAGCCAAACCTCCCGCTTTTATTGCAATGTTAAATATAACATTGAAATGACAAGACTACATGACAGGACTACAATACAAATAAATGGGAGAACATACAGGACAGAGACATACCCAAATAATAGCTATCAAAAGGTACAAGGCTTATAATTTAATACGCCAGACGCGCCTTTCGTCTACACAAGACCCATCAGTGACGCTCAGATCAAAAATGTTCGAAAGCCAAAACAAGTACAAAGTTGAAAAGCATTGAGGACCAAAAGTTTCAAAAAGTTGTGCCAAATACGGCTAAGGTTATATGCCTGGGATAAGAAAATCCTTAGTATTTAGAATAATTCATACTTTTGCAAACAGAAAATTTATAAAAATGACTATATAATAGATATACATGTTAACACCGAAGTGATGACTAACTACAGAATAAAAACGAATACGTAAAACAACCTAAAAATCAGCACATAAAAAAGGCACAGCAAAACAACGTATTACATGTGAGACGAAGAGCTAAAATATGTTTGAAAAACAATTATAGTTCATTTGTGTTCAGTGGGATTGTTTGCATTTTTTACATTGCCAAATGCAATTGATTAACTCAAAAACGCTATATGTATATAGTTGCTTTGGGGAACTTCAAAATTCAGACTTACAATTTTATCATCACCAGATGCATCTTGTGTATTATGCTCTTTATTGCAGGTATTCTCTATCTGTAAAAAAAATAAGAAAACATAGATAATTGATAAAAGTTTAATATTTCATAATAAGCTGTTTGCATCCTTTAATTGAACAAATAAAAATGAAAAATTATCCAAAGTTAACAAAATTACATGTCACTGATACTTGACAATGACAATGATGTATGTTATATTGAAAAATAACACAAGAAACGTCAGCACTTTAGCATTCTATAAATGACTAATGCTTTGCAATATCTTACAATTTCAAGTTTTAAATAAAGCTTCACAAAATGACTTGCATGTAAATTAATCTTCATTTTTGTTAGACTAAGATCTTGTTGATATTCAAAAGCTAACACATCTTCGAATTTAGTTCAATTGAAAACTGATATAATGAAATGAACTTTGCTACATGCATGTAACAAGTATGTTCGAATGTGTGTTAAGAAAAATTTCCTGCTATCATTTATAATATAAGATTTGAATATAAATAGTATAACTTTAATGTGCATTGAGCATATTCTTTTCTTCCAGCTATTATCCGACTGTAAATAAATTGTGTTGATAAAACTGTTCTCATATCACTGAATTTGCACAAAAACTGTCATTCTAACTATAAAACCAGGTTTAATCCACCATTTTCTACATAAAAAAATGTCTGTACCAAGTCAGGTATATGACAGTTCTTATCAATTATCGTTTGATGTGTTTGAGCTTTTGATTTTACCATTTAATTAGGGACTTTCTGTTTTGAATTTTCCTTGCGGTTCGGTATTTTTGTGATTTTACTTTTTAACACAACTACAACTAATGACTCAGATGGCCATTTTAAAACTAGAGAAGGGGACCTCAAATGCAATTACATCGGTGAAATATTTTTGAAGGCGCGTCATATACCTTGTTATATATGTTTTTAACTTTTGATTTAGCCTCAAAATATTTCTGTTTCATCAGGAATTACCAATATCCGATATGAAGCTAACGTTAAGTGAGATATTATAGAAGTTATATAGCTAATTGTTTTCATGAACTCATAAGATGCATACTGCTTGGATCTTTTTGTGCATTACTTTAAACAGCTGGTTTAGGTTTTTCCTATTATTTTAATACGTAATTTTCTACCTTATCTTACCTCCTATCTATTTTTAGGAATAGCATTGCTTAAAACCAATCGAACACGTGAGATTCGTGTAAATGAGGTCAGTGTTTGTGTTATATTTTAAAAACATGATCAGTACTTGCGGTTTACCTTAATGACACGGTTAGTGGTACACAGCTACTTTAGTACAAGTAATCTTGATGTACAGTTCTAAAAATGCATATCAAATGTACATCTGTAAAGCTGTATATAAACTGTACATCTGCTAATCTGTATATAAACTGTACAGCTGTAAAACTGTATATAAACTGTACATTTTTAAAGCTGTATATAAACTGCAACTCTTTAAAAATGTACATTAACTGCACATTTTAAAATCTGTGTATAAGCTAAACATATAGATTCTATCACTGCATCTTGTGTGATACGATATCTATCCACAGTTTGTATACAGTTTTACAGATGTACAGTTTATATACAGCTTTACAGATGTACAGTTTATATCCCTTTGAATGTCCCTTTGTTATCTTTCGCTTTTTTAGGTCACTATACCCCTATTTTGACATTTTTACTTTTTATGTCTGTTTGTTTTATTCACGCATCGTTGTCAATATAATGGAATTTGATGCGACTGTCATACAAGTGAGAGGTTTAGCGCTATAAAACCATCTATATAAGAAAATGCCTGTACCAAGTCAGGAATATGACAGTTGTTGTCCATTCGTTTGATGTATTTGTGCTTTTGATTTTGCCATTTGATTAGTGACTTTCCGTTTTGAATTTTCCTCGGAGTTCAGTATTTTTGTGAGTTAACTTTTCACACTGTGTAGCTTGTTATATTTGTCTATATCATGAATTTACCATGTTTTAATAATGCCTATTTATATTCACTAAGACACTAGTTCCCAGTTATATTTTTGTTCTGATCAGATTGTTATGTCACAATAAGAATGTTGTAATATTGATATGACGTTCATCGACCCTATGAGGCCTTGCAGTGACAGAGGAACGTCAGAGGGAAGTCCATTTTCAAAACCTGTATATTGCCACCCATGACTTGTAGCGGAATGTGTGATTACATGGGAGGATATACTCAGTAGCATAAAAAAGCGCATCATCTGCCCAGGAAAACAGTATTCAAAAAGATGAATCCAGAAAAAAAACTGTATTACCTCATCGTAAAATAGCTAATCATGTACATATTATACTTTCAGATGATTGACTACTGCACTGTTCTTGAAACGCATAAAACCAAAATATATGATATATCATCTCGCTTCATATTCCATTGTATTGATATTCTATGGCTAAATGTTGACCTTATTATATTTATCATTTACAAAACAACGTATTGAAAAAGTAAAATGCCTTTGTACAATGTTGCAATAGTTTTAATAATGTATAGAAATACATAACACTTTTTTTGTTTTAAGGAACACCCTTCATGGCTGTTTTTTTGTCGAATAATGCCTGAAATGTCTGATCAATTTCATTATTGTTAAAAGATTCCTTGTGGAATGAAAATCACTATTACTTTTTTAATCTGAGACTGTTCTAAAACTTAAATTTCCAATTTGTACAATTAACACGGGTTCACAGAATAAAACTGATTTAAGACAACATATCAAGTGACACATTCAAAACAATTCCCTACATTTTGTGAACACGAAAGTATGTATAAAATAAACATTTTGTTTTGCCATTCAAATCGAGAAATCAAAAGTACTATAAATCAATCAAAATACTTCCTTCATACATATGTGTAAAAGGGCCTCAAAGTTCTTACATTTCGATTTTTATATTTTTCTTTTCCCGACATTTTTATCTTTTAAACTACTTTTTTTATATCTTTTTCGTTAAATTAATTGAATATTTTTTCAGAGAGCGATGAAAGATTTTGCAAATTATTTGTGCTTTATATTTTATATATTAGTCCTACAAATATGTTACATTGCTTCTCATTTCATTTTTCTGACATGTGAACTGACCACCAATTAGTCTATCTGTTTTAATTCTTCGCAAGCTCATTATCAATGGTTTACATAAACAAGTACAAGAATAATAGCAAATCTTGCGTTAATTCATATGTCTTTAAACGCTTCCTATTATATTACTGGTAAGGTGTTGCTCATATATTGTTTGACCAAAACTATGCAAACAATGGCCACTTTAGGTCAAATACTTGTGTATGATGTCTTTGAATAGTTGATCCTTCTATACTGCACTGTCCGGATTGAATTAACATGTTTCTTGTAGCAAAAAGTAAGATAAAAATAATACCGACCTCCGAGGAAAACTCAAAACTGAAAATCCGTAATTAAATGACAAAATCAAAAGGTCAAACACATCAAACGAATGGATAACAACTGTCATATTCCTCACTTGGTACAGGCATTTTCTAATAGGTTTCATTCATTTTGATATGTTTGAAAAAGTGTTCTTTTATTTTTGCAATTTCAGGGGCCAAATAATAGCTCCTTTCATACCTCTTCCTTTCTTGAAGATTGTTTAAACTTGCTAACGTTTATTAACAGAATCAAGGGCCTGATATACATTTTAGTTCTAATACTATATTTTGCACACTCGAAAATGTTCTATGCGTCGATGTTATGTTTGAGCGTGTCAATTAAGATTATTTCAGAAATAATTTTGATAAAACGTGTTCAGGAACTCATTTTTAGGTTTTCGTCGAGACATGTTCACAAATCCCTTATTTAGTTACCACTGTATACTCGGAGTATATTGTAGTAGCTGATAAACCGCCATATATAGATGCAATTAACAAATTATTTCAGGAAATCCTTTTTTAAACTTTCAAATAAATCTTTACAGTTAAACACTTACATCTTCATTATCACTAGGTCCATCTTCTGTGATATAATCTTCACAATGGCTACCTATTGACTGTAAAATATATTTGAAAAACAATTATAGTTCATTTGTGTTCAGTTGGGTTGTTTGCAATTTTCACATTGTCAAATGCAAGTGATTAATTCAAAAACGCTATATGAATATAGTTGCTTGGAAGGACTTCAAAATTCAAACTTACAACTTTATCTTCACCAGATGTATCTTGTGTGTTATGCTCTTTATTGCAGTTATTCTCTGACTGTAAACAAAAATGAAGAAAACAAATATAATTTACAAAGTTTAATATTTCATAATAAGCTGTTTGCATCCTTTAATTGAACAAACGAAAATGACAAATGATCCAAAGTTAACAAAATTACATGTCAATTTCCAATAACTGATACATGTATGTTATATTGAAAAATAACGCACGAAGGAAACGTCATAACTTAAGCAATCCATACATGACTATGGCTTTGCAACATCTAACTATTTCAACTTTTAAATATTACTCTCAATAAAGCTTCACGAAATGACTTGCATATGAAGTAGTCTACAATTTTGCTAAACTAAGCGCTTGTTGGTATCATAAAGTAGCAAATCTTCAAATTCAATTCAATTGAACACTGATAGAAATTGAAAAAAAAATATATTGAAATGGATTAGGCTACATGCATATAACAAGTGTGTTCGAGTGTGTGTTAAGAAAATTGTTATGCTAATATTGATAATAGAAGATGCGAACATAGATAGTATAACTTTGATTTACAGAGAAGATAGACTTCTTTTCCAGCTATTATCCGACTGTACATGAATTTTACAAATGATTTTTTTTTTACCTTCTGTTGAGCATTTTATCTGACGAGCATTGTTAGAAATTCTATTTTTTTTTAATCTTTTTTCCTGTCTGTTGGTTTAATGATTAGAACCTTGAAAATGCCAAACCCTTGATTTTCAACTGAAAGCGAGATAGAAAGTTGTGTAGAAATCAAATGTGTGGATTTGACAAAGTAACTCTTTAATTTTTATGTTAAATAAGCATTTAAAATTACAAAAAAAAAAATTTATTTGGAGACAAAACACTCCAACCCCTTTAAAATTGCGTAGTAACTAGGGCCTCGCATAAACATCGAAAGAAGGCATATGATACTGCACAGGACACGCGTATCGACAATTTATTTCTTCATTTATGGTAGGAAAAACCAATCTCAACATCAAACTAACAAGGTATAGTGATCTAGCGTATTTCCTCACAGTGCAATCAGGGCAACTTTTTATAATGAACACACGATACCGGTGTCAACAGCATAGCATAACTGTCAAAATTATATGCAGACGGAATGATATAACGCAGACGTGTGACACTATTTTTCAAAGTTAAACAAAGTAGCACCAAAGGAACTGCTTGGAATAAATCGTGTGAATGGGCTACAAGTAGGCAATTCGTACATACAAGAAGAATATGTGTGTTGGAAAGTTATAATGAATTATATATCAAGGCATTTTTGACTACAATCAATAAAATGTTACATGCATTTGATCTTGAAAATTGGCAATAAATTTAAATATTGATGTCGTAAGGTTATCAAAAGACCTTATTGTATAGTTATTGTTTGTCTCATGTATATTCCACTTTATTTGTCATAACATTTATATTAAGATAGTGTTTTTTTTTTTTCTTCGTTTAAAATCAAATATTCAGTTTACTGGAGATATAGACAAACTCATGTATTATTTGTTCTTTTTTTTTCAAATAAACGAAATATGCTTCCTCATGAGTATTCATTTAGAAATTGCTGTTAGTATGTTTTTGATGAGTTTATTTTGAACTAAATGCATCAACATTCCATCCCAGCAAAGCTCAATTTGAAAACACTTAACAGTGAAGTAAGTGAGGTATTGATCTTCCGCCTCAGTAGTGAAATCAATCGGCTTATCAGTGGAAAAACTCGTTTATAAATTATTATGTTTTTTTTTTTAATTGTATTGTCTCTTGAATTATTAAGTGTTAACATTTCTTTTACATTTCAATTGTCTTATATAGCTCTGCTTTGTTGGGAATGATATTAAGTTAACATTTTAACAAAAATAAAACAGGATTTTTTTGAAAACAGTTAAAAATAGATACACAGCGTATTTTCATAATTACTATAATTACAGCTATTAAGCAAATCACTTATTGCTAAATATACTAAAAAAGGTTTGTAACTACAACATGTACAAAATATAAATTAATTGTATCGATATCCTACCGACAAAAACATAGAATCAAATATTATTTACAAATAGTTACTTATTTGAGTAATATTCAAAACAGCCTCGTTTTCAAAATAACTTGAATAGATAATTTTGAAAGTAAATTGTTTTAGATATGCCCCTGGCTGATTATACTCCCTTTGTTGTATCAAATTTACAATATTATATTATGTTGAACCATACGTTAAAATCTTTTTTATGTCCATCTAATTCATCTCTGTTATTTTTGGTGTAATTCATCCGCATGATCTGCCCATGATATCTACCTGCAAGAAAGTATATAGAGTATCAAGATCTCGTGTTTATATAATTTACTCCGGCTTGATGTTTATGTGTCTTAACGGTAGAACAGTTTGTGCTGAGGGTTTGAAAGTTATTACAGTTGAAATTAAAAATTTTCCTCACCCTACCAACTTCACCCGCATATGGAGTACACATTTATCAACTCATAAGATTTTCAAGAGCTGTTAACTGCTACTTATACTTTGTTAAAAATTTATGAGTCACGGTTTTGTCAAAGAACGTCTCGTCCTTTTAGTTCATCGAAAAGTACCAAGACCTAATGGATAAATAGTCAGTGTCTATTTAACAAACAATACAAGATGGTCTTGACTTATAGAATGTGGGTGCTGAAGTTGTGTTTGTTTTCTGTTTTTTTTTTTTTTTTTCCTGTTGATTCCATGTTATTTGTCTTCGTGCTATTATGTTTATCTAGGTCGTAATATGATGTTTGACGTGAATTGGCATATATGCATCCCACCATCAGGTTTTTCTTTCAATTTTGGGCATGAACATGGTGAGGTAAACCTGGTTTTTTAGCTAGCTAAACCTCCCACTTGTATGACAGTTGTTTATAGTTCCTATATATTTACAAAATTGGCTGAGAAACCTAATAAGGTAGTGTGACATAAATTCAAACAAACTTACAAACAAAGACGCCATAAAAAGGTTTAGTAGATATGAAATTTGACAAATCTTCCATATGAGCAATTTAGACTGTTTGATATACATTTACTTCGTCTGAAATGATTTTGTTTTTATATCAATCGATAAATCAAGGCGTAAATCTTACTTTAGTTTACAATGTAGTTGCGTTGATATTATGTTGATTGTTCATGATATTGTCAAAAAATGATTTGTCTTCTGGTACTGCTGGTTGCTGTAGAAAAGCTTGGTAGATACTGTTTTTTAAATTAGTAACACTGTTGTACTTTCGTAAGTCTCTTTGCACTTGTAATGTTGATTATTTTTAATATAGAGCTCAGTGTCTAATACTCATACTTGTTGTATTATTTTACTATCTTTTGGAACTCCGCAGATGGACATGAAAAAAAAAAAGTGAGACATAAAAAAAACTGCAATGTTTATGTCCTGGTCATGTGTTGTTTCTTGAATGAAGATAGTGATATTTTTCCTCTTATTACGTTCAAACTATATTGAGAGAAACAACACACGCACACACACACACACACACACACGCTCACACACACACACGGAAAGTAGTAATTAACTTACTGTACAAGACAAGTGCTATTACAATTAATGATGTTACACATATTGTTGTTACAGCTACTATTCTGTATTGTCCTACAATTCAACAAAAGCTATACATTCAGTTACTGATAAAATATATATAGGAGTTGATTATTCAAAAGTACACATTTATATAACTATCATAATACTGGAATAATTAGAATTAAATGAAAATAATGAAAAGAATACATTTATAAATATGACAGATATAAGGCCACATAATCGTTCGAACGAAGTATACATGCTGTACGAAGAATTGTTCAATACTAGATTTCAGTATATAGTTTACAAGAAACATGTACTTTGCAAAGGGATGTTCATATACGAACTCACACAAATTCAACACTTCAATGAAACTTGATTTTGAAAACATATTTGAAACGTCTATTGGCATATTTACTTTATAGTTAAAATTTTTAAAAAAAAAAGTAAAAACCTTGCTAACACTCTTTTCATACATAACGTACACACATCCTAGTTTTAACATATTATCATTTAAACTAATTTTTTCAACAGTATATGTTTAGTTTAAATGTTAATGAACACTTACTTGTTGGAAGTGCTAAGTTATATTGAAAGGCATCAAGATTTCCGTGTTTCACTGTTTCATTCTTTTTTGACCTAAAATCAATAAAACCGGTCATTTCAACATACACAATTTCAAAACAAATATGATTTAGTTTGCCTAATATATTTTCAGTTGCATGAATGTTTTAACCTATAATATTGTATTAAAATGAACCTTGTAAATGCATATGTCTGTGGTATTGTCAAACATGTAGAAGGTTTGCTTCATGTCTTGACATTTTCCTCGATACTGACACAGATAGACGACTTCACATTAGAATCTTTGACACACATAATGATTTAAATTTTATATTTTTATTTCCACATTTATCAGCAGTAATATGCCTTCTGCAACATAATATCGTATTGCGTAACCTATCGCAGTTCTTGCGTTATGTATGTATTATGTTCGCACTATACGGATTTCATAAACAGAGTGTATATTCCTTCATTAATTCAAATTTTCTTGGTTATCTCTTTTTTAAGGGCTAAGTATAAAAATGTTTGATTCTAGCCAACAAATAAATTAGCATTTTCGTTATAATGTTTTTTTTTTTAAATGCAAAAAGAAGAAACTTTCCTTTTCAATACATAAAAAAACCACGGCCAATTTTGAAAAGCAAACTTTGACAATAAATCAAAGGATTATTTTCTTATCAAATTTTTCCATAATATGTGCTTTCCTTAAGGAAGACTTTAAAGGTTTTTATTTAAAAAAAACAACATCAGTCACGGTTGAGTATATTTATTGTTTACTTTTCTTTGCCTTTTATATGAACAAATTCTATTGATAAATAAAATGTCTTTGTGTTACCTTTTAGAGCTTGAAATAAGCAATCAACATATTTATCAAGGTAACTCACATCTACATACTTTAGATAATAAGTCATTATCATATACATAGAGTAAATAACTTATAATTTTTACAGTATGATAAAAGCATTAAATTTACGTGAATTCCATATTTTCCAAAATGGTGTTTAGCGGGCTGATATGAAAAATTTATCACATGCTTCCGACTATTATCACATGCCTTTCCGTAACGCTATCGCATGGCATTCTGGCGTTACTCGGCATATTCCGAAAAATACACCTCAATGGTACGTTTTCAGTGACAAACATTACAAAGTAGGGTACAAAACAAGAAAATATATGATGTAAAATGCAAAGAAACAATGATACAATTAATGCATTTCTCAAAGTTTCAAGCATAATTTAGAAAATTACTTTAAATATGTTGACTTTTCCGAACAGTGAACATTATGTTCTGTTGAATTTTTGAATTTTTTTTTATCGCCAATATATAAAAATATATTATACTGTTGTTTTTCTCCTCTGTCAGGCATATGTTAGAAAGATTTCATATCGGATGTATAACATTTGGTGTCCAACGTACATAATCTTTTCACTTTTTGAACTTCTACTTGAGAACCACTTAAAAGGATCAATATAATAAACTGTTATTTTTCTCCACTGTTGAAGCAGATGATAAAAAGATCATAACATGTCATTTTTCATATCAGATGTATTATCAGCCCTCGAGCCTTCGGCTCTTGGGCTGATAATACATCTGTTTTAAAAGATGTCATGTAATAATCTTATATTATTACGTAAACACTTACTTTGGTTGTACAATGAATGAGACAAATGAAGATGACATAGGATCTTGTGTACATTCATAATCTACAAATAATGAGAAATTTACATTGTGTAGTTCCGAGTATCATTATTTTGAAATCCGTAAACATGGTAAAATCATTCACCAGATAACTGGTTACATGAAAATAATATCGTTGTTTGAAAGCACGTCAGTAATAGTAACTATTGAAAATTAACAAAATTTAATTCTTACAAGATAATTATAACGTGTGATTCTATATTTACTTAAATAATTATCTTTGGGTGATTACAACTAACATGGATACCTCAAAGATTTCGACATTACAAATGTATTTTAATTTGTAAACACATTCATGTTTTTTTTCATGTACATAGATATAAGAAGATGTGGTATGAGTGCCAATGAGACAACTCTCCATCCAAGTCAAAATTTATAAAAGTAAATCATTATAGGTCACAGTACGGTCTTCAACACGGAGCCTTGGCTCACACCGAACAGTAAGCTATAAAGGGCCCCAAAAATTACTAGTGTAAAACCATTCAAACGGGAAAAACCAACGGTCTAATCTATATAGAAAACGAGAAACGAGAAACACTCATGAACCACATCAACAAACGACAACTACTGAACATCAGATTCCTGACTTAGGACAGGTGCAAACAAATGCAGCGGGTTTAAACGTTTTAATGGTACCAAACCTTCACCCTTTTTCTGAAACAACAGTGTTACATCACAACATAGAAAGACACACTATAAAATATCAACTGAAATAGCTCAACTCAATCAAAGGACATATTAACACCATTGAACATACACTGAACAAATACATGTATGTACAGTTGTATTAAGTGTGTCGAGTGTGTTTGACCTTACCAGATGACAATCCATTGTTCTGTGGACAGGTGGTTAAGTAATATGTACAATCTTCCTGTTCTGGCATGCAAAACCGAATATTTCTAGGGCGTACTAGAAAAGTGTATCCTCGTGTATAATCACAGTTACATGTGCTATCTTCTTTTGTTGAGCCAGCAGTAAATATTAGTTGACCTTCCTCATCACATGATGATTTCATAAAGGCGCACTTGCTAAGTTGTGACGAATAAAATTTGAATGGTTGATACCTTTTGACAGTGCAGTTCATACTCCTTCTATTGCCTTTAATGACATACTTTTGACCTGAGAAAAAAGAAAATGTTATACAACGCACGTACATGTATAAATTCTGTGTAAAGAATTGTACATAATTTGATTACAAGAAATGTAAATTTTGTTCTTTTGTTTAACAAAATCAGTCGATAGAAGCACCATTATAAATAATTTATTTCATCTTTACATGCATTCGTTCAACAGAAAGGTTGAAACTCAAATTGACTGATGTTTATATTCTTGTCTTGTGGTATTTTGTGGTTAGTTATCTCAATGGCAATGTTTGTATGCATATTATATATATATGTAATGTATAGTTGTAATGTATAGTTGTATATATCACACTTTGGTGCAAATTGTTAATGTACAATTTTTCTAACAAATTTCTTTGTAAAACAGATACACAGAAATATATCTTGACTATCATTTCTGCATAGGTCGGATGGGAAATGTTTGTTCTATTCTTCCCGAACTCAATTTTTAGATAAGGTTTTGTGGGCTAAGAAATTTTGTTTAGATCATGTAATTGTCGGTTTTCTTTAAATGAGTGTTTATTTCATTGTACATGTTATTGCAATCTACTTTAATTTTTTAGTGTTTATTGATACTTGCCCATTCTGACGAAATCAGATTTATATAAGCAAGACTCTCTATAAGAGTCCTCTCGGACATCTTTTAAACAAGAATAATTTTCTTCTGTTGTATTACAATGCCAATGGGCGCGTATCATTCTGTGGGATTCATGCGGACATTTGAAATCATATTCCGTAGTAACACTGGACACCAAATTGATGATAAAGATCTACAAAATAAATAAGTAAAACGTACAAAAATGTATCAGCCATCAAATTTTAAAGTTTTTCTATGACAGTAAATGTTGTTTTCACAAATAATAAGCAACTGCATATGACGGCAATGACTTTTTTAAGGTAACCTTAGTCACAACTGTAAGATTCGTTTCACGTCAAAATAAAGATGTTGCTGTGTTCCCAACATGTTTAGGTACCTTTCGATGAATTCATTGATGGATAATAGCAGACTTGTATACAAACATATGCATGTGTTTGTATATGTTGTATGTGTAAATGAAACAGTATTTTCGTTGTTTGGATATCAATGTATGATAGACTCACGCGCTTTGTTGATGTAAATATAAACTAATGCAAAATAAAATTAAGTACTCTTTTCAGTTAGAAAAAATAAGATATAATTAGATTGGCAAAGACGGATGGTGCCCCTATCTTAGAAACGAACGTTTATGAAAACGTTAAACATTTATTAGAAATATTTTTACATCGCATTGATTATGTAAATAGTAAGTAGTTAAATTATTTATTAAACTTTATGGTAAAGTGGTAAGGTCTCCTTTGTTTGCAATATTTTCCTAGTGGGCGGAAAGCTTATTTATGAAACTTCCTACCGCATGCATCACTGCCTTTAAAAAAACCATCTTCTATATGATGTTGCTTCCCTTTTTCTGTCATTTAAATTGATCTAAGCTTCTGAAATAAACGATTGAACCAATAGTTAAATATAAATAGTACTGATAAGAATTAACCCGGGTCAAATTCCTTGGTGCTATTTAGAAAGCTTGCATACAGATTTAAACAGGGTTCATTGATTTTATTAATCGTCTTTTTAAATTTTTCTGCGTAAACACGTACATATATCTTGATATGTATACAATAATGTGTACAACTCCCACTGATTCACCTAAGTATTGCCCTGTTCTAAAGAGACGTCAGGTATTGATTCGTCAATAAGAACCCATTTGATACAAGTGAACAAAGGACATTTAACTGTGTGGAATTCTGAAGTAATTGTTTCTTTGTGAACGTCGGTGGCCGATTTATTTCTGAAGTTTGACGACGTTTCTGTACATGGTAAAGTTTAACTTCTTACCACGACTGATTCTATTGGAAATTAGTTTGATTATTTACAGAAGAATTCTGACTTCTACACAATCAACGCAAATGTCAAATAATAGTCAGCAGAGAGAAACCTACAACTAAAGTTACACAATAAAGTCAGCATTAATACTAAATCATGCTGACGAGACATTTTACACAAACTTAGATTCTAAACATTAAAAGGAAAACGAAATGAAAAGACAAGAAACTTAACATTGAATAGACACATAAGCAAATTATCTTTCAGAGAAAATCAGCTTGTTCAAGGGCTGTAAAATCAATCTAAAACTCTAATAGAAAATGGTACCAAAATATATATATGTTTATGACAAACATGGCCATCTCGGTTAGGATTTGTATATATTCTATTGTATTTATTTTTTCAACAACAATTACCGTTTTCCTTATAATCAAGAGTTATCTAAACTATACTACGGAAATGAGGAAACATAAATATGACAGTGGGTTTCCATTCGGTCCTTTGTCAGGTTTTATTGACTTCCCCTCTTTTAATTACCTCAGAGTTCGGAATTGTTGTGAATACTTTTATTACTTTAATTGAATAGAATCTAAAAGGCAGAACAACAATAGCTGTCCTTTTATAGATTTTGATATTTCAATATCACACTAGAAACTCTAAACAAAATAGAATATTTTTTTGTACTTTGGATCCCTTCGACGGTATTTATATTTTCTATCATCTCGTTTGGTTTGTCATTCATAAAGTGGCGTACTATTTTGTATTTATGCATAATTGGTTTATTATTAAATCAGGGATTTCTTTATCACAAATTACTTAAGACTTTAGCTTATTTCTTTAAAAGTTACAACCATTTCATTTGGAATTTTGGCTGTACCTGTAAATATCTTATAACAAACTGGATATCACATCGTATTGTATTGTTATGTTATTCATAGAGCCCATACATTTAGATAGGGTCAATGCAAACTAACCGATCCTTTGTATTAACTGATATTTACTTTATCGGTACAAACCATATGTTTTCATCGAAACATACAAACATAGCCACAGTATTGTTCTGGTATACAATTATGAACACCTACAACCTGCCGATATTTATATTTTGGCATTTCGAAAGGTCATGCTTTGTTCTCATATTGTTTAGAGCGTCTTTACACTTATTCAGGTCGATGTATATTGATAAATATTTAAGTCTTGCATGATTTATTCATAAAAGTCGTATTTTTTTTGAACATGCATCATGCCTGAGCTCGTTTCTTTTCTTTTCGTTTTTTTGTGACGATCGTCTAGACTTTTCTACACTTAATTATCACTGTTTTTTTTCTCATGCTATTACATTACTTTTCCGTGTAAGAAAAGGACTGAATGCTCGAAAGCATCTTTATTCACGCAATATTCGGTATCGGCCTATCATAAGGCATGAGCATGTAATTCAGTGCTTGTCGTTGTCAGGTATTTGAATTTTCTTTTACTTTTTTTATTACTCTTTTACATACATCAGGTCTTTTGAAATGTTTTAAAGCTTTTCATGTCCGGGCTTTTAATATCTTGATATGCGATATTGATGTTGTTTCATTTTCAAAGGCCGAATTGTCACCGATAGTTTCATAAATCTACGTCATTTGGTCGCTAATCCTAATCGCTAGTACTTATTAAATAAGCTACACAAAAAAAATTCAGATGAATTTTGAAAGTTTATTAGTGTTGAAATTGATCCTTTAAGTTTTCTGCGTAACATATAAAGGATCAAACATGTTCTTATTGTAGCTGAAGAATCTGCTTTTGTTCTTATGATACTGTTTTGATAACCAGTTATTTCTATGTTTTTTCGTTTATTGGACGGTAGAAATACCTATACGTTTTCTTTTATTCATTAGATATATAAATATCATGTATACCTTGTTAGTAGTTCAATGTATAACTGTTGTCAAACACTGTAAGCTTATTGTATACTTCATTCATTTAAGTCACTTGAATTTCATTCACAAATAATCTGAATTCATTGCGTTCCGTTCTATGTCAAAAACAACCATTCAAGCTCACATATTTTCTAAATAATTAATTTAAATGATCGATTGTACTTACCTTTGAAAAATGTGATATACATCTATTTAAAACTATTTAACAATATCAAATACCATTGAAGATTGAAATGACAGACGGATACATATTTTATAATTATTTAAAAACTAACATAAAGTTTAATTTAACTATTCCGAATGATATCTAGAAATAAATCGGAAAGAAGTAAATATACTAGAGCCTGTAATTCAGTGGTTGTCCTTTGTTGTTGTATTTCATATTTGTTTTTCGTGCATTTTTATTTAAATAAATCAGGTCGTTTGTTTTCTCGTTTGAATTGTTTAACAAGCTGACTATGCGGTATATGTTTTACTCATTGTTGAAGGCCGTACGGTGTAATTTCTGTGGCATTTGGTTTTTTGTTGAGAGTGTCATTGGCAAATATATCACATCTTCTTTTGATATAGACCTATGAATTAGTTAAATCTGTTACTAAGCAAAATCTGTTATAAAGGTATGAGACGAGGGAAAATCAAAAAGATGAGCATAATCTGTCTTAGGTAATGACAATAGCCCATTCTAACGACATACGGTTGTATATGCCTGATAACATCACTTTATCAATTCGTGCACCCGAAGCGCTTTTTTTTTGCGTGCACCTTTGATTAAAGCCAAAGATGTATAAGTACTTGAAAAGGTAAGTAGCTATATAGCTTAAATGAATTTAACAGAAAAGTAAAATCAATCTGAGATCTACTTTACAATTTGGTACAGATGTTGGACATATATCAACTATTTTTTTTTTAATTTAAAGTTTAATATATAGCTGTTGTGGCATTTGTATAACATTTGTAGATAGTTTACCAGGAAATTGAAGCATTACATTGAAAGTTGAAGAATCATCTAGATGCTCATATCCTTAACTGTCGAGCATAAATTTCAGTAAAGATCTTCTCATAACTCCACTAGTCGTTCTAAATTTGTTAATATTTAATTGCTTGAAGATTTGTCAAACATAAAACAAAACAAAAAAGATCAACTTCACAAATACACAACTTTTTTAAATACCTGCGATGTGTATTTTAGCATTTGAAATGTGAGAGATCTTTAAATGACTTGATTGTATTGAAACTTATAATAAATAGACAGAAAATTACGTTAATTCAATGCTCAAGTTCAATCACGTAACATAGTCAAAACTTGAATTAATATCTATCCAATTCTTAGTCCCTGATGGTTTCAGAAATCTTTTTATATTGCTGTTTAGGGATAATTTGTGTATATTAATGCAGAAACGAACAAATCGTTACCCAAATTTAAACTAAGAATTCACATTAATATTTCCCCCAAAAATTACAAAAACCCAGCCAAAGCAATCAATTTCTCTGATATTTGCTAATAATAATAACCAATACAATTTCTTAAAATTTACATATTTAGGATTTAATGTCAAATTCTTTTTGCTTTAACTTTGGTCACGTTTTATCGTGGTTGACATAGAATTACTGTAAAAAAATTGCATAAATATTCAGTATAATACATTCAATTCATATGCTAGGCAGTGTTGTTCGTCTAATTTGCAGCAAGGAACATTTGGACTGCTTTTGAAAAAGATGATATGGTACATGTATGAACACTCAAAAGATTGATAGAAATATTCATAATATAATTATGCTTAGAGAGATTTTACAATCATTTCATTTGAAATCGCCTAAACATTGACAAACATTAATTTTGATTTAAATTAAGGGTAGGAAGCTAACAGGTAATAGTAAAACTATTATTTTATGGATTATAAGTAAACACCTTTAAATCAAATGCCAGATATAACATTTAAAACAAAAATGGTAGACATATTGTTTATAAACCAATTAATGCATTCCAATCATTGATTGTGAACATAAAATACGGAAATTTTTAGTTCCTTGAAAATGTTTTTTTTCTACATCAACGAAAATATATGTGCAAAGAAACTAGTACAAAATTTGTCCTTGTCTTACCTTGATACATACCGGAAGTTAAATGTACTGTTAAAATTGTATTATTAGCTTTTATTAAAATCCGATATCAGTGATTTGGAACTATTTAAATCTATTTGTAATGAAAATCATCAATTTGCTGTTGGATGTCTACACCAAGTTTTCTAATAAAATTAACTTATTGTAAATATAAATGACTTATGATAGTTCTTACGTGCTTAAATATCATTTGGATGAAAACTGATAGGCGTGTGAATGAGTTTTCCTATGTCTTTTCTGATAGTGCGAGTTCGTCTATTATTTCCTAGATTCGTCCTATAAAATTAAAGTCAGAAGTGAGTTTTTTTATCACTGAAAATATTTATGACATTCGTTTAAAAAGTTTCCGTATTATGACCATAATTGATGTAGGCTTATCCCTTCGATTCCTTCTTGTCATATTAATTTTTCTTCTCAGATATGAATAGCGCTTCACACGAACCAAGATTTTTTTCTTAATTTGATTTCACTCTGGCTGGAAAAATAAATATAAACAACCGCAACAAAGATATACTTTCCTATTGCTATTAAATCATACTAAATTGTTAATTTATATAATATTTGTAATTGGTTAGGTCTTCTAATGATGTACTGCTATGCTTGCATATAGTTTTTATAAACTATATATAAACACTCTCCAAAACACCAACATTGCAGAATAAAATCTACTTTTTAAATTTCAAATAAAAGCAGGTGTGAAAGATATCTTACTTATGTTTTCATAACGTTAGAAGAGATGCATTGATGACATTGGATGTTACGATAAAAAGTACATGCCTATGGCATCTATTTGAACTTTAAAAGACATGTTTACTACGATAAGTCAGGTTCACAATCTCCTCCCAAACAGAGCACAAGTAAAAGGTAAATAAGAATGTTAGATAATATTACGTTTAACGGCAATCATTTATGATAAAATGTCTAAGTTGAGGCCAAGGTTCTAAACTCAAAATTCTCTACGGATAAAGGGTTTTGATTACACCAATATACTGCTTAGTAAACAAAAGAACTATACGTAAAAAATAATTATTATGAGAACAAAACAAAAATGATCGAAACACCTATCAAAGAGAAGTTGGAGCAAATTTACAATGTTTGAAAGCTTTTACGCGGAGAACTAAGGCAACAATACTATACCTATGTTCAAATTTCATGATTCCATTAAAAAGACATTAAGGTAACAAACAAAAACTGATCAGGGAATCGCGTAAATTCCAAAAAAACGAGACCGGCGTCATCGACAGCGTACATGCAATTGTCTCCCATTATGTATGCATCACTCCCCGTGCAAATCAACACTCCGTTAAAGTGTCAGTATCGGAAATAAGACACATTCGGTAAAATTGGAGATAAGAGACTAACTATACTGGTTTTCAGAAAGAGACTGTGGTTCAGCATCTTTTTTCCTACAATTGATTGATTACAGGCAACATTTCTACTGTAACAAAGATACTACAATTATCATGTTTCAGTTTAATGTAATTGTGTGTCTCACAGTAATTACCTAGTATTTGAACTTATAAAAACATATTGCAATTGTATTATTTATTGTTGTAACGCTGCATCTTTACCTGAGGTTTGAATGCATTGAGGTTTCTGTATTGTATGGATATATTTATATTTATATAGTGGGTGCATTTTTCCAATGATAACTTGTCCTCATTTGACGCATTTAAGTTGCGTTCGTTAATAAAATAGTTAGTTTTGAATTACATTTTCAGGTTCCTTTTATTTATTAGTTATTACAGAAAATATGTACAAAGGCGAATTGTAATAGTTTTCTTTTCGGGAATGAACAGTTATGGCGATAATGACGTATTTTACATGTGTATCAAAAATTTTTGAAGCATTAAGGGTGCATTATATTTTAAAATATACCGGGAGCAGATGAATAGTTCGTTAAATTCTTAAAAGAATTGTTCAATGTTATTAGGAAATTGTGTATTATACATGTGGAGAAACATTTTGAATGAACAATATCAATTTTATTTAATTTTACATCTTACAGATATCAAGTTAAGTTTGTTTAAATTGAATTCCAGTGCTATCACTGAGAGTATTATATTTATCGCTTAGTCATAAACATACATAAAAATGATCAGATAAGCAGCAGTTAAAGCATAATATGTGCCTTAAAATTTATCTTATCGGCCGTACATTGTAAGGGAGAAAATGGGTTAATAAACTGTGTCTTTGAATCCATTGCATTTCATGATCCGTTACCATTTTCTGTAGTTGTTCACATAGGCAACACTACATTGAGATTGTATCAACCAAGGTCTGAAATATAATGTTAACGAAATTAGGACCCTCGATTACGATTTTTAAAAGTTGGATTTGTTAAGCCAATATTTCTCATAATCATACAATTTGCCTGAATATGTAGACCACAATATGTTATTGATGTAAAACCCGCCATAGTAATTAGTATGATACATTGTTCAAAAGGATGTCCGAATTAATTCAATTATCAACGATTGTTTGGAATAGTGATTATTTCCTGTTAACAGAATAATGATGCGTTGTTCATAATTCGAAATTATTTCCTCATAAATTAGTGCGAGTTTGTAAGGCAAAAAGTATGATGATTCCATTGCTGATATACATATTTTTTCTCTATTGGTGTCAAGTTATTACAACTGAAGAAGGAAGATGCTATAAAGATTTGCGGTAAAAGATTAATTTATTTTGAAAATGCAAAGAATAATTTCGTATTTGCATTGTGTGCTCCGGTATATTAATATATAGATTCAACCACTGCAACAAGTGTGTTACAATATTTCTCCACACGAGACAGTTTAATTTTAATATTTAAAGCGCGAGGCTTGCCAAGCTTTTTAAATAAGTAAATTTTAACTGTTCAGAGGGGAGAAATATCATAATACACGAGTTATGGTGGTGGGATCTGTTTCTCTAATGATTTTTATCTTTCCTTTTCAAAGATTTGCAAAAAGTTGTGTTCTTCATATGTGACATCATCAGGCATGGTCACCTTTTTTCATGACGTCACAATAGAAAATTCAAAAGAAACCAAGAAAATTTTACGTCATAATTAAATTTTGACTAATTATTTGCCGAGAAGAGTTTTTATTTACTAGTGAGGAGAACAATGCTTTCACAATCGGTAGGGAAATGTGAAAAAAGTGAAAAAATAGAGAAATATAGTTTTAAGAACATTACGAAAAGTTATATAAATATTTAATTAAAGTAACACTCTTTTTGTCATCATTTTCCGTAAAATGAAATAAATTTGATCCCCGTGTTTAATAATACAGTATTGTTATACTTTCCACTTGGTAAAATTTTCTTGATCAAATACGTTTTAATGTTATTATTCAAATATTTTTGCCTATTTATGATATTGCATGACATGATAATTTGGAGTTTAAATCTTTTTATCGTTAATTAATGATTAATAATTCATAAGTTATACAAATACAGGTGTACATATAACATGAAGCGATAAAGATATAGTATTCGTTTTGCAAACGATTGATGCAACAATTTAATCATCATATTGATAATGAATGATTAGTCGCACATTTTCTTTTCAAGTGGTTTGTAACAATATGTAATATGTCAATGGTTTGGCTTGAAACACTACAAACAATCAGACACAGCGGATGTTGACACTTATCTATTTACAAATTCATTTTTTTACATTCGATTATAATGAACATGTTTTTTTTTATATTTGAATCTAACATAAGCTATTAACGTTAGTAAACACACACAATTTAAGAAACAGTCAATGAGCTGAATTTTCTATTTGAACATGTTGAAAGAGGTCTTTCAAAAAAGACGACGAAATATGGATATTGTATCATAGACCAGTGACTAGTAGTTTTTTTTTTTTTTTAATTTACACATCTCATTTAGATTAAACAAATAAAGAGTAATCCCAATTTGAATGTAGCCACAATATCCTCACTTTTTTGTTAATCTTTCGGTCTGTTTCGGTAATTGTAAACAAATAGTGATAGGTTTCACATTACGATTTTATTACTAATTGACGTGTTACGAAATGGTATTCTCTCGACGCTGAGGTTGATAAATTTGACTTTAAATGTGGGTATCAGATCAAAACACAAAAGTGATTTCAGGATTTTAAATTATCTGTGTATCAATTGAACCTTGTGTAGTTCTGACGTTAGCGTATATGTCGCCCTTACAACAGATGTCTGTTCGGAAACCTTATCATAGACAATTTTATTATAAATAGTCCTTATGGGACGAGTATTTCATAAAATGTATTCCGTGAGGAATAAACATTATAACTTCCATAATATGTCTTGCATTTTGAACACTAACAGGGGACAATGATTGCAGCAAGGACATGGATCCCAAAAAAAGCGGGAGACGGGAAGCCGCGGCGAAGAAAGATTCTGGGATAAGAGAGACAATCCCCTGACCACCATAATAAATTAAAACTACACATTTTTTTTAATTTTATTATTTTTTTTTTTTAATCAATAGAGAGGGACATCTTTTAAACAAGAATAATTTTCTTCTGTTGTATTACAATGCCAATGGTCGCGTATCATTCTGTGGGATTCATGCGGACATTTGAAATCATATTCCGTAGTAACAATGGACACCAAATTGATGATAAAGATCTACAAAATAAATAGGTAAAACGTACAAAAATGTATCAGCCATCAAATTTTAAAGATTTTCTATGACAGTAAATGTTGTTTTCACAAATAATAAGCAACTGCATATGACGGCAATGACTTTTTTAAGGTAACCTTAGTCACAACTGTAAGATTCGTTTCACGTCAAAATAAAGATGTTGCTGTGTTTCCAACATGTTTAGGTACCTTTCGATGAATTCATTGATGGATAATAGCAGACTTTTATACAAAAATATACATGTGTTTGTATATGTTGTATGTGTAAATGAAACAGTATTTTCGTTGTTTGAATATCAATGTATGATAGACTCACGCGCTTTGTTGATGTAAATATAAACTAATGCAAAATAAAGTTAAGTACTCTTTTCAGTTAGAAAAAATAAGATATAATTAGATTGGCAAAGACGGATGGTGCCCCTATCTTAGAAACGAACGTTTATGAAAATGTTAAACATTTATTCGAAATATTTTTACATCGCATTGATTATGTAAATAGTAAGTAGTTAAATTATTTATTAAACTTTATGGTAAAGTGGTAAGGTCTCCTTTGTTTGCAATATTTTCCTAGTGGGCGGAAAGCTTATTTATGAAACTTCCTACCGCATGCATCACTGCCTTAAAAAAACCATCTTCTATATGATGTTGCTTCCCTTTTTCTGTCATTTAAATTGATCTAAGCTTCTGAAATAAACGATTGAACCAATAGTTAAATATAAATAGTACTGATAAGAATTAACCCGGGTCAAATTCCTTGGTGCTATTTAGAAAGCTTGCATACAGATTTAAACAGGGTTCATTGATTTTATTAATCGTCTTTTTAAATTTTTCTGCGTAAACACGTACATATATCTTGATATGTATACAATAATGTGTACAACTCCCACTGATTCACCTAAGTATTGCCCTGTTCTAAAGAGACGTCAGGTATTGATTCGTCAATAAGAACCCATTTGATACAAGTGAACAAAGGACATTTAACTGTGTGGAATTCTGAAATAATTGTTTCTTTGTGAACGTCGGTGGCCGATTTATTTCTGAAGTTTGACGACGTTTCTGTACATGGTAAAGTTTAACTTATTACCACGACTGATCCTATTGGAAATTATTTTGATCATTTACAGAAGAATTCTGACTTCTACACAATCAACGCAAATGTCAAATAATAGTCAGCAGAGAGAAACCTACAACTAAAGTTACACAATAAAGTCAGCATTAATACTAAATCATGCTGACGAGACATTTTACACAAACTTAGATTCTAAACATTAAAAGGAAAACGAAATGAAAAGACAAGAAACTTAACATTGAATAGACACATAAGCAAATTATCTTTCAGAGAAAATCAGCTTGTTCAAGGGCCGTAAAATCAATTTAAAACTCTAATAGAAAATGGTACCAAAATATATATATGTTTATGACAAACATGGCCATCTCGGTTAGGATTTGTCTATATTCTATTGTATTTATTTTTTCAACAACAATTACCGTTTTCCTTATAATCAAGATTTATCTAAACTATACTACGGAAATGTACCGGAGGAAACATAAATATGACAGTGGGTTTCCATTCGGTCCTTTGTCAGGTTTTATTGACTTCCCCTCTTTTAATTACCTCAGAGTTCGGTATTGTTGTGAATACTTTTATTACTTTAATTGAATAGAATCTAAAAGGCAGAACAACAATAGCTGTCCTTTTATAGATTTTGATATTTCAATATCACACTAGAAACTCTAAACAAAATAGAATATTTTTTGTACTTTGGATCCCTTCGACGGTATTTATATTTTTTATCATCTCGTTTGGTTTGTCATTCATAAAGTGGCGTACTATTTTGTATTTATGCATAATTGGTTTATTATTAAATCAGGGATTTCTTTATCACAAATTACTTATAACTTTAGCTTATTTCTTTAAAAGTTACAACCATTTCATTTGGAATTTTGGCTGTACCTGTAAATATCTTATAACAAACTGGATATCACATCGTATTTTATTGTTATGTTATTTATAGAGCCCATACATTTAGATAGGGTCAATGCAAACTAACCGATCCTTTGTATTAATTGATATTTACTTTATCGGTACAAACCATATGTTTTCATCGAAACATACAAACATAGCCACAGTATTGTTCTGGTATACAATTATGAACACCTACAACCTGCCGATATTTATATTTTGGCATTTCGAAAGGTCATGCTTTGTTCTCATATTGTTTAGAGCGTCTTTACACTTATTCAGGTCGATGTATATTGATTCATATTTAAGTCTTGCATGATTTATTCATAAAAGTTGTATTTTTTTTTTAACATGCATCATGCCTGAGCTCGTTTCTTTTCTTTTCGTTTTTTTGTGACGATCGTCTAGACTTTTCTACACTTAATTATCACAGTTTTTTTCTCATGCTAATACATAACTTTTCCGTGTAAGAAAAGGACTGAATGCTCGAAAGCATCTTTATTCACGCAATATTCGGTATCGGCCTATCCCAAGGCATGAGCATGTAATTCAGTGCTTGTCGTTGTCAGGCATTTGAATTTTCTTTTACTTTTTTTATTACTCTTTTACATACATCAGGTCTTTTGAAATGTTTTAAAGCTTGTCATGTCCGGGCTTTTAATATCTTGATATGCGATATTGATGTTGTTTCATTTTCAAAGGCCGAATTGTCACCGATAGTTTCATAAATCTACGTCATTTGGTCGCTAATCCTAATCGCTAGTACTTATTAAATAAGCTACACAAAAAAATTCAAATGAATTTTGAAAGTTTATTAGTGTTGAAATTGATCCTTTAAGTTTTCTGCGTAACATATAAAGGATCAAACATGTTCTTATTGTAGCTGAAGAATCTGCTTTTGTTCTTATGATACTGTTTTGATAACCAGTTATTTCTATGTTTTTTCGTTTATTGGACGGTAGAAATACCTATACGTTTTCTTTTATTCATTAGATATATAAATATCATGTATACCTTGTTAGTAGTTCAATGTATAACTGTTGTCAAACACTGTAAGCTTATTGTATACTTCATTC